GGGGGGGGGTTGAAGACCACAATAGGCTCAGGGGGGGAGGAAACAGAGGAGGAGGGAAACAGGGAGACTGGTGGTCAGAGGGTGACGTCGCAGTCACTGGGGTGAGACAGAGCGGGGTGTCACACCGTGGGAAGGTTGCAGGGGCATGGCAGCGGAGATCCCAGCATCACCACCCATGCACCCACGGAGACATTCAGCAGTCACCAACCAGCACAGCACTAGTGACGCTCCTCCGTGCATTCAGTGTTCATTCATTTTAATTTGCCCCCTTTTTTAAAAAGTCAGAAACTGCTCACTGGGGCATATTTCAGACAAATGTGATGGACATTAGCCAAAGAGTTGCACAGACACAAACAACTGTTTAAGCGTGTTTGCTCATTTACCACCAGCACAGCTATGCGCACCATTTATTTTTACTTAAATGTCCCGATACCACTTTCACAAAATGTGACCCTGTACATGCATTTATCAGTAACGTGTGCAAAGGGACATAACTGGTGGACTGTGGGATAAAAAAAAACCACAATGTCTATTTCAGGTATGTGTGAATTTGTGTGTGTAAATGTGTCTGGTTAGTATTTTCTGTGGGTAAAGGCCTGTGCCGAAGTGCAAGTCATTGTAAAGTCACGACACCTTGTGGTGAAGCTCTACTTGAGTGTTCTTGAGGTAGGCAAACAGGCATCGTTCACTTTATCAAAGAACTTCATAGTGCATCGATTATTCGATAATTAGAGCAGGAAATTACGGCATTGAAGTGAAGAGTGAATGCACAGTTTTGAAACTATTCAGGTAGAGGTTAGGTGCTGCTGAAAAGCCATCCCTGTCATGACGGCTGTGTAAGGCTGTAGTATCCGTCAGACTGGGCAGGTGTGAGTGAAGGGCAGAGGCCTGTGGAAACCCAAGAGTTGAAACCTATAAGGCAGAGCATGAGCACAGGAAGTGTGTGCTTCTCTCCCGAGTTCAGCTAAAGATGCATCTGTTTGGCCTCATAGTTTGAACTGAACACTGACATCTCTGGCACAGTATCATTAAAAACTTAACAATATGTTGGCATGAGTAGTTACCACAACAATATCTGACTCTGTACCTTTGGCATCTTCGCAGCCCTGCTGATAATAAGTTAACGAGGGAGTTCAACCAATGAGGCATTTTTCATTTCAATGAATCACTTGAACCAGGTGATTTCACAGGTTACATTTCCACTCTGGTGGTAGATACCATCCTCAGCTACATCACTTTTAGCCATCCCTGCACTACCTCTTTAAAGTCAGAGATACCCAATGATACCACTTACATCAATCTTTGTTCTGTTCTTTCTATCTCCCTTCTAGACCTCTGCAACATGTTCTGGGCTCTGTTCTTTAATCGTCAATCTCAAGTCCAACCCCTACGTCACCTCCTGCCTTCTCATTTGCCTGCAACAGTACATGAACAATAATCTCAAAAAACCTTCTCTGATTACAATGTCTGTGCTTTAATCTTGAGCCGTGAGTGGTGTGAAGTAAAAATATTTAAATGTTATTTAAAAAATTGCACACACACTGAATGAAAATTTTCCCCTGATGCAACTCATTTTGCTACCACAAAACAGCATATAAAACAGCATACTGCAAACAAACAGCTCCGGATAAACTCCACGGTAGATAATCTGAACACTCTACTTTGAGTCTATGGCAACAGAGACTAACATTGCAAATATAAAAACACATAAAATAGCACTGTAGGCTACAGTAAAACACTATTGCACTGTGGGAAACTGTACATGGCCTTCAGCCATCTTGGATTAATCTCGAGACTGTTGGGTTTCCACAGACAGCTGCTGTTAACAGTGCACTGAAAGAAGTGGTGATGGGAGGAACTGGGCGGAAGTAAACCCAGTGTCAGTACTGTGCAGTGGGAAATAAGTGTGTGTGAAGCATCTGTGGAGTGTGTCTGTGTACAGTGTTACTTCGGTGTGTCAACGTTAAGACGTTTACTGTTTCTCTTTTGTGTGAGTGTGTGTGTGTGAGTGTGTGTGTGTGTTGTCTAGGTGTATGACAGATGGGATCCGTTGGAGATCTGAGAGGTGATGCTGGCGCTCCTGCTCATGCCCTGTTCATTCCTTCCCCCTGATGACGTCCTCCTCATAGCCTGTGGGCTGTTCCTCACCCCTCCCCCACCGCCACCACTCCCCCTCTGACTCCCTCCTCCGGGGTGATGGAGGCTCCAGGGTGGTGGACCCCCAGCCAGCATGGGGTGACCCCAGGGCTGCTGTGAGCTGGAGCTCCCCTGGTGGTGATGACTATGGTGGCCCACTCCTCCACCTCCTCCAGGCCAGTGGCCCCCCCCCTGAGCCCCCTGGCCTCCTCCACCACCGCCCCCCCAGCCTCCCTGGGGATCAGGAGCCAGGTTAGTGAGCACCATGTTGCTGAAGCCCAGCCGCATGGACTCAGAGTCAAAAGCCTCAATCTCTCGGGCCTGTCGCTCCAGCAGCGAGCGGATCCGCTCCAGGCGTTCGTTCTGCAGGGCAAGCATTTCCTCCTCAATCTGTGGAGACAACACAAGAAGGAATGAGTTCAATATCAGCTTGATTTCATAACTTAACAACTCACATTAAAATACTTTGCATTCTAATATGGAGCGTTTGTGACATTGTTTTTTTTATCCCAGTGCATCGTGTTCAGTGGCAAACTTATTGACTGGCAATGGAGTCAAGTCAAGTCAATTGCCTTTTTTTTGTGGGTTTTCCTACGTTCAAAAACCTGCGTATACAACCAACACAAGACAACACAGTGTGTGTGTCCAGGGCTTTTCTTACTTTCTGTTCCAGCAGAGCCCTCCGCAGAGACACCCTCTGCTCCAGCTCCCTCTTCTCCTTTTCGTGCTGAGCATCCGTCTGCATCTTGATCTTGCTCTGGTACGCATTGAGCAACTCCAGCTCCTGCTGCAGCTGCATCCTCAGAACCTGACACTCCCCCTCTTGAGCTTCATCTAACCGCAGCTGAGGGCAGGGAAACAAAAGACAGAGAGACAGAAACTAAGTCTTTCTTTGTGAGCGCCATGTGTATTTGGCCAGTGTCAATGAAATATACTTTTTTAAGGAACAGCGATCTCTTAAATAGCCATAATTAGAGTATAAATAATTTTAATCCTTCAAAACTGAATAAATGAAAATAAATAAAAATCTAAATTTGAATCATATGTAAATAAATGTGAGTACATTTATTGGCATCCATGTGTTAAATTATGCATTATACATACTGACCAGAAGCACAACACATCAACAACACTTTGGTCCCTGAGTTTGCATCAAATGTTCAATTTGATTGATATTGAGATTCTTCTTTTCCTGAGATAAACTCTCTATGGCAGCTTCGTGTGAAGACAAATCAGACACTGATAATAATTAATGATACGACAAATCGTTGTTTCGTGAGCCTGTTAGACTTCAGAAACTCACAGCCTGCGTGGAGAGCATCTCATTGATGGAGTGGTCGTACTGCTCCGCCAGGATGGCCAGCTTCCTGGTCTGCTCCTCCTTCAGCCTCTTCAGCACGGCCTTGTGGTCAGACTTGGGCGTGGTCTCCAGCAGATGATTCCTAAGGGCCTTGTACTGCCTGGTCTGGGTTTTACAAGTCTCCTGGAACTGCTTCTTAATCTGGAGCTCCTTAGACTGAGGAAGGAACAGATATTGACTGTATATTGACATGTGTTTCTGTGCGTGGTTTGTCAGAGGGTCAGTTTCAAAGTATTTTTTGTACCTTGAGGCTCTTGGGCTGCTGTCGGACCTCCATGACATGTTTGCGCCTCAGCTCCCTCTCCCTCCTCTTGTTGTATTCCAGCTGGTTTGTGAGCTCCGTCTGGTGCTGGGTACGGATCAGCTCTGCCCGCGCCTTCTGGATCGTCCCCAGATGCCTGAACTCCAGCTCCTGCATTGACTCGTGATGCCTGAGCAGCATTGCGTGCTCCAGGTCCTTCTGTGTCTGCCGCTTGTTCAGCTCCTGGAAAAAATAGTAAATGAGTAAATGCAGGGTAAATGGAGGTGATCGAATTAATAAAATAAAACAAAAACGCAAGAGTAGCTGATGGTCTGTGGTTGCCTCTGCATGTTGAAGTACCTCTCTGGCCAGATCCTGTTCCACATTGTGTCTGGCGATGAGGACCCTGCGTTTGAACCGACGACACTCCAGCTCCAAGTACTGCCTCTGTCTCCTCAGCAAGTTGGCCTCCTCCTCCGCCTGGTAGTGGACACATTGTTACATTACTATAATTAACAGTATACCTCAAAGACATTCAAACTCTCAAGAAAACTTGCAAAGGGATGTTTTGGGGGACAAATGAGCTTAGCAGGGTCAAACCTGGGTAGTGCTTACTGAGAGGTAAATTTTGTTAACGTTACAGACTCTACTGATGATGCAATCCATTGCCAGGTCTGAGGAAAACCATCACGTGGTCTTGGAAAAGTCTGTTAAGTCTGACAAATCCTTACCTGGAAGTGCTGGATGTTCTCTTTCTGCTTGGAAAGCCACTCCTGCTTCTCTTTCTTAGGAGTCGACTGGTTCTCACTCAGTTCCTGCATCACAAGTGATACTTTTTTATTACGTTTTCTTTCAATGTGTCAGGGTCTCGTCATTAATGGGTTTTGTATCAACATTTAGAAATTTAAGAATGGGTAGTTTGAGCCCTGGCTTCATCAGGCTGTGTTGAGTGCCTAGACAAAACTAAAAAAAACTTTAATTTCATGAAAACTGGCTTTATGAGCCACAGAGAAACCTTCAGGAAAGACGGTCACGATTCAGAAAGGCTGAGAACCACACTGGCTTCTGTGATAATAAAGTGTCTTTGGGGTTTGGACAGCTCATCAGAAAAAAAACAAGATAGTTAGATCACCCTGGCAAAAATACAAACGATAACAGACGTATTTT